TTATTCCCTATAACCACCCCTCCCCTCACAACTGACTCACTGGGCCGAGTGCGGGTGGTCCCTTTCCAGAATGTGTCCTTGTATGGTATACGATTGAGATTCTGGCCCATCTTCTCTGCCCGCTCTGAGGAAGAAAGACAAACAATCTTGGCCTCAGCTGTGGTACAGGAGGAGACAGGCAGGGACAAGACAAGAGAACACAGCTGAGGGGCAGAGGACGGACCTCGGAGCAGCTCTCTCAGAGGTGCTTTGGCTTTGTCCACAGGCATTTCTCCATACTTATTGCAGATGCTGACAAGGGCCCCATTAGCCACCAGGTCCTGGAATAAAAAGGTGATTGTGATGAGGGCCCCACTACCTCCCTCAAGAGTCACAACCAACCATGAAGGCAGATGCAATACAAACCCTGTGTCATATACTTGGTACTGCTCACAGGATTGGTTCAAGATTCCAGACTTGATTTTACTGAGGCTCAGACTTTACTTCCCACCCACCCCAGGGCTTGGGGCCTAAGTACATACCTCTGCCACCTGATCTTGACCCCAAAAACAGGCATAGTGCAGGGGCACATTCCCATGTTCATTCACTGCATTGATGTCAGCTTTGTACTGCAGCAGCTGATCCCCACAGCCAGGTAGAAGAGACAGAAGGCATAGTCAGTCCCAAAGGAGAGATGGGTGTTGAGGCATATGAGGAAGGAAAAGAGTACACATGCTTTCCCCAGTATGTTACAGTGCCTGAGACTGACTTCTAGGCATGTACACGAATGTAGGGCATGCAAGGATCATATATACCTTCTGTACAATATCACGGTGTCCGTGGCTGGCTGCCAGGTGCAGGGGGGTGTCATCCCCACGGTTCATCACATTGATTCGTGCCCCCCGCATGATCAGCATCTCAACTATAGCAGAGCGGCCCTCTCGGCAGGCCCAGTGCAAGGGGGAGAAGCCATGATCGTCCCTTTGAAGGAAGGGGCAATGGTCATTTATCTGGAGGTGGAATGGGAGCAAGGGCCTCAGTACAGGAAAAACTGATAGTCCCTCTGCTTACTCACTCTGGGGAACCTTACCTCTCCAGGACTTTAATTCTTATTCTTGCCAGCAACTCCCAAAGCTGTCCTATTCAGACCTTCCCCAAGCTTCAGTTCCAGCCCTCAACAAGTCCATGATTCTTGGTTTTCAACACTATCTACCACCAGCCTTTCTTCCCTGACATGCCCTATCTCATTAAATGGTAGCATTCTTCACCTGGTGTCCTCTGCATCCCTTTTGCAACATCTGTTGGTCCTTTCTGTTTTCCACTGCATCTTGTACATCCCCCTACTATAATACTTATGACACTGGATTGTAAAACTTCATTAATGGGCTGTCTTGTCAGACTGTAAGCTTCTTGAGAGAATGGACTGACCACAGGCGTTTGGTGCATGTTGAGGGGTGTGGTCTTGGAGAAGGAAGGCCACAACTTGGGGGAGAGGGAGCAAACTTACTGATTGGGTCTGGTACTGAAAATAAAATCTAAAAATGTAATGGAATTAAAATGACATTTTGGAAGGGATTGTAATGAAAAACAGAAATGCTTTTGATAAGTCATTACTGATGAGGCAGATAGCAAACCCACATATGAAACAGGATTCCTCTATGCAATCCAGGGCACGGAAAATGAGAAAATAAGAATGGCTTCTGTAGAAATGAAACTGTACCTGACATTTTTTTTTTTTGTTTTGCCCTCAAGGACGTGTATTTTGTAAAGTAAAGGAAGTGTACCAAAAAGTCCCAAACAATTGGGTGGGAGCTGGGCCTGCCTGACAGCCTGGGGCCATAAAAGGAAATTCCCTCCAGTCCAGGAGGCAGATCCAAGGGGCGGAGCAAGGGGCGGTCTGTGGTTTGGGCAGGCTGCCTCCGGATGCCTTAGTGCTGTGGTCACTTCCCATGTGGGAGTTCGAGATGGGGCCTGGAGCTGATCAGGGGTCTGGCCACTGCTGGCCACCCAGATACCCCAACAGCTAATGGGAGGGGGGGGGCGTGGCCCTTAACGTAAATGATTTCCTTCCACTGCTGCCTTCAATTGCTCACAGAGATAGCCAAAAGCTTTCCTGAGATGTAGGGGTCCTCCCCCTCCCCAAAGCAATTACCACCCCCTGCTTATCAGTCAGTTTTACCTCCCAACTCTTTAATTTGTGCCTTGGCTTAACAGTCTTCCCCCCAGTCTATGGCCCCAGAGCAGGCCAGAGCCCGAAGGCAAAAAGTATGGGTAGGATTCTGCCCACTGGCGGCTGCCTGTCACCTCAGGGCCTTGACTTTAATCCCAAAGAGACCAGCAGGGAATTCATCCCCACCTCATATCCATCATATGGCCAGCTTGGTCCCCCAAAACCTATCCCCTCAAACCAACAACGCCTTCCAGTTTCACTAGTGCCACCCCTTCACCTTTTGGCAGCAGAGTCTAGATATGACACCCACTGGACAACTTTGCCTAAGCCTTTATAACACCACCAACAAAAGAGTAATGGTGCCCACTATTAAAGCACCCTTTAAGGAATTATATGTATAATGGAACAAGTGACTGTGAATAATGGAGAAGGACTACAGAGCCTAATGGGAACCACTGAGCCTAATAGCCTGAATGAAGATGACAGGCGATTCTTACCTCTCAAACCTAAAAACTAAACTCTGCCAACCTTAAAAAATAAATTTTAAAATAAAGAAAAATTAAAATTCATCCTGAGTCAACATCACTGTTGTTTTTCTTGCCTTCCAGGCTCAGCCAACCTCATTTAACCTGGCACAAGGCCCCTGCCTTGAGGTCAGGCATTAAGTCTGATTCTCCACCTCTAGCTCCCAGCCTTCATTTTAGTAGAGTTCTTTAAATGAAGGAACCTAGTGTACTCTGGATTCTTTGCTTCTTTTCCTCTCACAGAGATCATCAAATATATCATTAACTAATTGTAAATTCAATGTTTACCTTAAAGTGATCTAGTTCTTTGATCTCTCGGGAGCCTATACTACTGTTGACCACACCCCCTTCATTGCACCAGTCACTTCTCTAAGGTTTACCAACATTCTCCTGTTTCTCCCTCAACCTCCAGTTGTTCCATTTAAGTCTTACAGGTTTCTCCTCTTCTCTCCTTCACACCCTTATCTTCAGGTATCATCTATATGCTAATATCTCCAAAATCTTTGTCTCCACATCAGACCTCCCTCCTGAAATCTAAATCCGTATGACCAACAACCTACTAAGCATTTCTACTTCACTGTCACTTTAACATGTCTAGAGTGGAGCTCATCATCCTTCAATCTTGCCCATCTCAATAAAAGGAACCACCATCTACCCAAGTACCCAAGCCAAAACCTTGGTCATTGTCTTTGACCTTCCTCACTTCCCACACCAAGTCTCACCATTTTTTAAAAAATAATTACAGTTTCCAATGATAGTTCAATATTATTCGGTATTAGTTTCAGCTGTACAGCATAGTGGTTGGACAATCATATATTTTACAAAGTGTTTCTCCTGACATTTTCACCAATCCTTCATCATAAAGATTTCAGGAATCTGATCTTTCTTTTTCACCCACCCGCATTCTAGTCCAAGACACCACCCCTTCTGGGATGAACTAGGCAATTGCCTCTCTTCACAATGCACTTCAAAAGGCATCCAAGAGGACACTTCGCAAGTGGGCAATCTCATGTCACTACATGGCTTTAAATCCTGCTTCTTAGAATAAAACCTTAATATAGCCTAAATATCCTTGCATGATCTGGCTGACCCTTGCAGACTTTTCCAGTCTCCTGTCATTCTCCACTTGTACCGAATGCTTCAGGCCACAGAAGCCCAAAGAGGATTTCTATCCTCCAGCCATGTAAAACTCTGGACAATTTCCAGGCACTCTGCTCTGTCTTGCCTCCTTACCCATGCAGCTCACTGAGGCCAGAAAGCTCTCTGCAGCCTCTGCCAATAACACTCTTATTTAGCAGTCAAGATTCAGCTCAAACAAGCTTCCTCTGTGGTGACCCTGTGCTGCTACCACCACCACCACCACCACCAGCAACACACACACACACACACACACACGGGCTGGGCACTCATCACACTGAATAGGAAAGTCAGCTGCTCCACCAGACGTGAGCACCTCACATCACGGAGAGGAGAATGTCTTTGCTCTTCCTCTCACCCACCCTCCACCTCAGCTCACCCCTGGTTGAGGTCATTCTCCGTGTTGTCCAGCCACAGGCGAACGGCAACAGCGTTGCCCTCCCGGCACTGAGTGAAAATGTCGTCCATAGCAGCGTCCCGGCCCTAAGTCCCCTGGTTTGGGGAAGTCTGGGGACTGTGGAGAGATCCAGGGAACGGGAGTGAGCCCCAAACTTTGTCCCCTGAAGTAGAGAAGTGTTTGTGTTAGGATGGGAGTCTGGGTGCTGCGTCCCCAGTTAGTAGAGATCTGGGAAGGAGTTCAGGGCAACGGGATGATCCCAAACTGTGTGAGCGAAAGACAAGTCCAGGCGAGGTAGGGGGTGATGAGGAGGTAGTATCCAGGGAAGAGATGTCAGCGAGCAAGCACTAGAACCCAATCCGCTACCAGAGCTGGGAGAGGGAGGAAGTTCAGGTTCTCTATTCTCTGGGGAAGGAGATCAGAAGTCTTTCTCGGGGGTGGCCATCGTTCCCATCTCGGAACTTAGGCTGAGTTAGGGGTGACGGACCAGCAGGGCTCGCGACTTGGGGGAAGGGGCACAGGTTTCCACGCACTCACCGGGACTCGGGATGTAGGTGCCTTCTCCGGGAAACTCCCGTCCGGCCGCGCCCGCCGCTTGGCCCCACCCCTGGCCCTCCGGGGCCCCGCGGGCCTCCCTTCCTCCGTCTTCCTTGCCTTTCTAGCCCACCCAATCTGTAAACTCGATGGTTTTCGGCACTGCGCAGGCCGCTCTATCCAGCCTGGTTTCCGGTTCTGTTCCGGAGGCTCTCTCTGCTCGGATTTCTGGAGACGCCCTCTGCATGTGGAGAGTTGCGGAGACTCGGCGACCTCACCCCTCACCGTCCGCATGTTCGAGGAGCCGGACTGGGCCGAGGAGGCCCCAATAGCTGCGTGCCTCCAGCCTGTAGCGTCACGGTTTCGGCCAGCGGCAGCCTCGCAAATCAAGGTGAGTGGTCCCTTATGGCACTGGGAGCTGTTTCAGGCCGTGGAGCGGGTCCTGGTGGATCGCAGCGCTGGACCAGCCGTACGTGCACTCCTCGTGTGTGTGTGTGTGTGTGTGTGTGTGTGTGTGTGTGCCCGCGCGCGCACGTTGCGGCTGACTGAGAACGAAAATCTAAGAACTTTCGAAAGAAAAGGACATTGGAACTGAGAATCGGTAAGTAGAAGTTAGTGGGGCGAAGAGAGTCTCTTGTTTGACAAGAAAAGCACGTGGATAAACGTCCTGGGTCCAAAGAGCACGGATGTCCTGTTGGGGTTACACACAAAATAACCCTTGTCATTGGAGCGTAGAGAATGAGAGGGGATGCCGTTGAAGTTGGAGAGGTAAATTAGTGGTTTTACATATTTTAAGGAAAGACAGAAACCAGTGAAGTGTTTTTAGCAGAGGAAGGATTCCTTCAGAATTGCAGTGTGGAGATTGGATTTCAGAGAGCAAAAGGGAGTGACAATAAAGGGTGTAAGTACTACCATTTCAGAAGGTGGTGTGTAGAGAGTACTAAGAACCTCTCAGTTAAATAGGTGCTCTGGGACTGCCCAGTACCACTTCAACCGGAAGGCCTCCTTTAAGCCTGTGCTGATATGAGGGCTGCTGTAGTTCCTCAGGCTCTTCCTATCCTCTGTGAGCTTCCAACATGGAATGTCTGCTTTATGCCTCCTCTTCATTCCCTTAACCCATCGCTATAATCCAGGCCACTGGCCCGTTTGTCTGCACCTTGTCCCTTCCAGTTTGTTCTCTACACTGCAGCTTGAGTCATTTGAAATACCCATCATCCTGTCATTCTTGATTTCAGAAACTGCCCTACTTTTTATCAGCTGGAGGCAAAAGCCTGAGATGAAGGGTTGGAACTCCTGGTCTCTGGCCTTGGTCCTGTTGCACATGGTCTTACCACATTCTTCTGGGGAACCCTAGTACCTCTTCTGAACATTGAAGAGCGTGGGTTGGATGGCTGGTTTCTCTGCCTTCCAGCCTCCCAAAGGTTGGGAAGTTGTTCAGGGTCTGTCATGCTTCATGACAAGCTAATTACCTGGGAATAATATGGATACCTCTGCCAGTGTTTGAATCAGGTCCCCATCTCCCCCTTCTTATTCCCTGGGTCCCATCCATTCTTCTCGCCCCTGCTTTCATCCCTTGTTTTCCCACCAGGGCTCCAAGCACCGCCAGCTCTTGGCCACACTACGGGTCCTGGAGGCAGCATCTCTTTCCCACCAACCTCCTAACTTGCCTGGCAGTGACTCTGAGGAGGAGGAGGTGGTGGAAAGGAAGAAGAAATGCCCCAAAAAGGCTTCATTTGCCAATGTTTTTACTGAAATAGAGGAGAAAAGGAAGAAGCAGCAGCAAAAACAGCACCTACCTGACAGTGACTCTGAGAAAAAGGAAGTAGAAAAGAAGAAGTGTCGTAAAGGGGCTCTTCGTGGCAGTGACTCTGCTGCAGAAGAGAAAAGAAAGGGGAGATGCCAGAAACAGGCCCCTTCAAACCCAGCCCAGCACCTGGACAGTGTTGACCAAACAGGTATTAGTGGATGTGTGTAAATATCAAACCCAGCCCAGCACCTGGACAGTGTTGACCAAACAGGTATTAGTGGATGTGTGTAAATATGTGGGAGAGGGGGGTCATCTGTTCTTACATATGACAGGTTACTTGCCACCATTAGGTTTGGGATTATGCAGTTAGAAGTACTTTCATCCACTCCACAGTCTCTATTTTGTCCAGGATGAATTTACCAAGACTCTGAATTCAGTGGGTCTTGCCTCATATATGCCTCCCCATCTCCTTCCCTACAGGTCTCCAAGCTTGGGAGAGTAGTGCCACAGATGACCCACCCAAGCCAAGCTCTGAGACCACTTCTCCCCAACCCTCCCGGACCTTGAGTCGCAAGCAGTGGCGGAACCGACAGAAGAACAAACGTAGACACAAGAACAAGTTTCGGCCACCTCAGCCACTAGACTCAGCTCTAGCCACAGCCCCCACAGAGGAGACAGAGGTGCCTCCTGCTCCCATTCAAGATAGCCAAGAGACTCGGGCAGGAGCTTTGCGAGCCCGCATGGCACAGCGGCTGGATGGTGCTCGATTTCGTTACCTCAATGAACAGCTGTACTCAGGGCCCAGCAGTGCTGCACAACGCCTCTTCCAGGAAGACCCTGAGGCCTTTCTCCTTTACCACCGTGGCTTCCAGAGCCAAGTCCAGAAGTGGCCACTACAGCCAGTGGACCGCATCGCCAGGGATCTTCGCCAGCGGTGAATGGGGGTTGGGCACCGTGGAAAGCAGTGTTGGTCAGTCAGGGGCTCAGACTAGAGCAGTGAGTGATTCCTCCCTTCCACTCCCAGGCCTGCATCTCTGGTGGTAGCTGACTTTGGCTGTGGGGACTGCCGCCTGGCTTCAAGTATCCGGAACACTGTACACTGCTTTGACTTGGCTTCTCTGGACCCCAAGGTCACGGTGTGTGACATGGCCCAGGTAAACCCCTTTATCTCTATGTATCTGGCCTGTGCGGTAGGTGCAGCCTGCATGTGCTAATCTCTTAACACACTGTTCTTCCTTCCCCCACACCCTCATCCTATTGTTTCTCCTTCCCATATTGTGTGCCTCATACAATAACCTCACTACCCACAGGTGCCTCTGGAGGATGAGTCTGTAGATGTGGCTGTGTTCTGTCTTTCACTGATGGGAACCAACATCAGGGACTTCCTAGAGGAGGCAAATCGAGTGCTGAAGACAGGGTAAGAGCCTGCAGGACACAGATGCATGTATATGTGCCCATACATATCTGTACTTACACAGAACTTCCCATTTTTCTCAGTGGTCTCCTAAAAGTGGCTGAAGTTAGCAGCCGCTTTGAAGATGTCCGGACCTTTCTGGGAGCTGTGACCAAACTGGGCTTCAAGGTCATCTCCAAGGTGAGGGCCCCACAAAGTTTTGTCCCTATTTTTGTCTCATTTGTGGCCCTTTCCAGGGTAATGGTGATCAGGAAGGAGGCCTTAGGCACAGACATTTGTTTCTTGAAGGCACAACCCGTGGGAAAGAAAGCCCTGGGAAGCTTTCAGAGCACGGGTGGGACATAGATTGAAGTGTTTTGAAGAGTGGGTTGAAGATGTGGGGCTCACTGGGTCTTTTTTGCCCTAGGACCTGACCAACAGCCACTTCTTCTTGTTTGATTTTGAAAAGACTGGGCCCCCTCGGGTAGGGCCTAAGGCTCAACTCTCAGGCCTGAAGCTTCAGCCATGTCTCTATAAGCGCAGGTGATCTCTGGACAACTTGAAAGGGGAGTCAAGTCTTGAACTCCAGGTTCAAAACTGTGAAGACTGTAACCAGCCAGGCTGTGCGCCAGGACCTGATGCCACCCTTGCTCTGTCCCAAGAACAAAGTGTGATGAAACCCCTGGCTCAGCCCTTCTCTCATGAAGGATTCTTGGTTGCAAGAAGCATAAAATTACTCAGGCTGGCTAAAGAATAAGGAGTTTCTTGTGAGAACACAGGGCTGTCTGGGAATTATGGATCCCCTAGTTATAGAAACTAGATGGTTTGGAATTTAAGGCATCTCTGGGTTTGATTCCTTGTTCCATCTCAGGAGCTACATGGGCTCTCTGTCCTGGCATCTCCATTCTCTTCTCTTCTGACCTGCTTGCAGACCAGCTCCGTCTACTTACTCATATCTATACTCCTTCAGCTTTGGTCTGCTCAGGTCTTCAAGGCCTCAGACAGGCAGGCATTGCTTCTTGGCTCTGGGGCAACTGGTGGCCCACTAACACTCTGGCTCAACACATCAATCAGGGCTTCTGGGTCAGGACTGTGCTTGTTTTTGTATTAAGCACTTCTTTCCCCTCTGTCCTCATCTCCATCTTTGGAGTCACATGGTCCAGACAACTTCCAGAAGTTATTGTCCTGTGTAGCCTTGGTCTGTGTCTAACTGAGAGCACAAATTTTGGAATGAGGTGAGCCTGGGTTCAAATCCTGGCCTGCCACTTACTGCTGAAGTCATTTAATCTTTGAACGTCACATTCCTCATTTGGAAAATGGTAGGATTCCTGTCTCGTGGGATTGTATGGGCCAACTGAAGAAATCGATAGCCGGGGCCGGGTACCATGGAGGTGCTCAATAAACAGTTGCTATGGCTGTTATGTCTTGTAAGCCTTATTCTCTGAGGACCTTCTCAAGGGTGGGTTGGAGGTTGAAGGATAAAGAATAGATTTGTTGATTGAGGAAGACTCAGCTTAATAGAGGCCTTTTGATCAGGCTCATTTAATAGGACATTTAGAGATTCTTGATAGAGTCTAAGCTGTGTTTGGACGGGGTTGGTGAGGAAATTGGGTCTGTTCATAAATAACCATCAGTTAATGCTTGGGTTGTTTATTGGCAAAAGGATCTGTCATTTCTGACTAGCAGGGGGCCCAGATCAGCATGTTCTAGGAAAGCTGTACACAGGGAAAGCTGGTGCTGGGAGAAGATGGACTGTGTTGATAGATCTTTGGCTGTTCCTAAATGCAATCTGCCATGATCCCAGACGTAAAGATAAAATCTTTTCTACCTATTTCCAAGAAAAGAACTCAGCATACCACTGCGACACAGGTTTCAGGGTTCTGAGGCAGCTGGATGCCTCCAGAAGAGGGTGGAGGTTCTGAGGCAGGCTGTTGGCCAGAGAGCATGTGTGGAAGCTGCATAGGGCCTTTGCATGTGTACTCTTCTCTCTGCTGAATACTTGACTGACTGGCAGTCTTACTCATGATTCCAAACAGCCTAGTTGTTTCCTACTCCATCAGGCCCAAAGCAGAATGACTCTCAAAGTACTCCCTAAAGTGTGCAGCTTCAGCATTTAAATGCTACACTGTGATTGCTGTGTGTGTTAGGGTGCAGTCTTAAGTCATTTTGATCTTGGTAGTCCCAGAGCTTGTTACTTGAGTTTACTTAAGCAGATGATAAAGGATGACAGTCCAATTGAGTGGGATTGATGGGAACAGGAGTGTTGCAGGAACCCCAGTTTGGGGCACATGAGAAAGCCACTGTGGACTCATGACAATGAAAGAAGTAGGCATATGGGAGAATCAGTAGATAGGACTGGTAGATGTTGAGGATTGGTGAGAGAAAGGAATCTGAAGTGAGTCTGGTTTCTGGCTTGAGCAACTGGGTAAACTAGTGCCATTTGGAAATGGTACATAAAAGCCACAGGAGAGATCTGTCCTAGGGATTTGGGAATCAGCAGCCCAGAGGTGGTAATTAAAATCATAGGAATAGATAAGATACTCAGAGTAAGATAATAAGAGGGGGAAATGGCTCATAATAGAACTCGGAGGAGCATTTAATTGGATGCATAAGGGAACATGAGCCAGTAAGGAGACAGGATGAAAAGGTTGGGCCAGAGATGGAGGAGTAAAGCCAGGAAAGTGTATTGTATGTATGTATTTTTCACCCAATGAGGTGTTTATCGATTTTAGAGAGAAAGAAAAGGAGAGAAAGAGAAACATTATTGTGAGAGAGAAATGTCAACCGGCTGCTTCCCGTACCTGCCCCAACCGGGGATCAAGGTCACAACCGGTATGTGCTCCTACTGGGAATTAAACTTACAACCTTTTGGTACATGGGACAGCACTCTAACCAACTGAGCCACCCAGCCACGGCAGTAGAGTGGATTTTTTAATGTGGAAGGAATGGGAGGGTTGTCAGCTGTTAAATGTTGTTGAGAAATCTGTTTGTGGAGGGATAAAGATTGCTGAATAATATCAACGGCCTTTTTGAATATATATTGGTATTCATGAATTTATAGTTATACCAATCAGCCCAGTGGAATGGCTATCTGCCTACTCAGGGATCTATGTGTAGCTTGAGAATCTGAGCACTAAGGAATCATCCAGAGATGAAACCTTGACTTGCAAAAGAAATGAAAGCAAACAAAGGAATTTGAAATCATTTATAAGTACTCGAGGTTGTTATACTAGTAGTAATTGAACAATTGACCTGGGAAGATGGGAGGCTGTGGTCAGAAATTGCAATGCTTGAATTACAAATATTGGAAGCAGAGCAGCTGCAGGTGATTGGCAAAATCTAGAGTACAGCTACATGGGTGAGTGCCTGAGAGGCATTCAAGGGAGGTTTGCCTAGAGACTAGTTAATGGACTGAGAGCTCAGGTATTGTGTTGTGTAGAGTGTGGGCTATTGTCTTTATGGACTTTCCAGTTGTCCGGGATGGTGGTAGAAATTGGCATGGAACAGGTACCAACCTCTTGAGGGAGAGCACAAATCCAGAAGATTTGCAGACAGAGAAGGAGAGACTGATGGCATGAATTTCAAAAGTGCTAAGGGTTCACACAGTCTACTAAAGACTCCCATCTGGGGGATGATGTGAGGCTGGTGAGCGGAGCTGGCTGCCAGGCAGCTAAGATAAAATACCCTGACAGTCCTCTCCAGCTTGTCAGGACTCACTGGGGATCACTGGAGAGAAGCTATTATTATTATGGCTGCTCCACGGGGGCAGGAACCTCTTGAAATAAATGGGGAGGCAAACCATAATGCCCAGAGAATGTGTTGGAGTAGCAGAGCATCTCACTGTAGGACATATCACCTTTTACAGCTCTGTGTCTGTGTTCATTCCCAAATGTTATTTATAGTCCTAGATCTTAACTAATCTTAACTAATAGTCCTAGATCTTAACTAATTTTCTGGGGTTTTGTTTTTTTTAACATTCTTAGCAGAATAGCTGGCGTCTGCCCTCCTCCTTTTGTCCGCCCCCCTCCCCTTTATAGTTTGGATTCTTCCTTGGCCTGTTCTAGTACCAGCCACCTGAGTAAATCTCTCTCTGAGTCTGACTGGACCCCAGGCTCACTCTAACTCAGCCCAGCACCCACTAGTGGCTCCATCAGTCACCCAGATTCTGAGAGCAGCACTCTCCTGAGCTGGATCTGGGTCCTCCCTGTCCCATCATCAGCTTCAGGACAAGATTTTTTTCAAGTCCCTGCTTGGACTTCAGTGTCTAATGTTGACAGTCTAGACTATAGAAAGAACGATATGTATTTCTTTGAGAAATAACAGTATGCAAACAATTTAAAGAACAACGAGACCAGTTTAAAGAATAAGTTGAAAACAGATTAAAGGAGTGGCGAGAATAATAAGATGCAAATGGGATTGGGAGAGGCTGCCCCACTGTGAAAGGCAGTGGTTCTCAAAGTTTGCAATAGAATTATCTGGAAGGCTTGTTAAAATGCATATTGCTAAGCCCTTCTCCAGTTTCTAATTCAGAAGATCAGGATAGGGTTTGAAAAGTTTTTTCTGGTTGCTTTGATTTTTCTCAATGAAGCAGAAAGCAGATTGTGGGTTGAGAGTGAGAATAGGGGAAAAGGAGTTGAAGTTTGAAGGAGAGGAGAACATGAATATTGTTTCTAAGAGCAAGAACAAATGAATTAGGGAAGTACAGTGAGTATGATTGCTAGTAATTTTAATAGCACACTTAAGGTTTAAGGTCAGAGGATAGGATTGGAGACCAGTGTAAGATTGCTTCCTAGAGAGCTTGTTACTGTGAGACAGAGCTGGACTGTCAGAACCTACTCACTTCTTGAGGGGTGGGCTGGTTTCTGACCTTTTACCTCAAGTCTAACTGGGGACTCCACTGGGACCCTTTGGGACACTTGAAGTATTGAATCCCTCAGCCAAGGAATGATAAGCCTGGAGTCTGACTCCTGCTCTGGAAATGTAGAAGGCAAGCAGAAGTTCACTGACTGTTTTGATGGTAGAGCGAGATAAATGCTGCTGCTTATGCGTTGGCCTGCTTTTCCATAATTTGCCATGGCACCTTATGTGTGAGTATTTCCTACATGCCTTGCCAGGAGAGAAAGAAGCATGGGTGGTCTTAGGTCCTGTCCAGCAGAACCATTTGAAGAGGCAAGGAAACCTCAACACAAAGAAACTAGGAGTGTGCTGTGTGGACTGAAGACTCAGTCGTAGTAGACTCTCAGATTTTAACAGGGGTGTCCAACCTTTCAGCATCTCTGTGCCACACTGGAAGAAGTACTGACTTGGGCCACCCATGAAAAACATTGTGACACGTAATCACAAAAAAATCTCATAATGTTTTAAGTAAATTTGTGATTTTGTGTTGGGCTGCGTTCACAGCCATCCTGGGCTGCATGCAGCCTGCAGGCCGCAGGTTGGGACACCCCTAATTAGTTTCATCCATCAGGGTTGGGGAGACAACAGGAATGCCCACTTTAAGGATCTGCCTGGCCCATAGGGTGCAGAACCACCCAGTTAAGCAAGAACTTTTATTCCCTGACTTCTCTGCACCTTGGGCCAGAGCAGCCAGCAGCTATTAGGTGGAAGGGAGGTGAGAAGAGCAGAGAGCATGCAGATTATTCCTCCCTTCCTCATTGCAGGCTCTTTGACTTAAGTGGAGCAGAGCTGGGAGGGAAAAATAGTAAAAGCTACAACAGGTGCAGATTATTGTTACATATGATTACACATTCTAATCACTTGAGAATGTATCCTAAAATGAGCATAAGACTATGAACTAAGAATGAGCTGAAAAGTCACAGGCTTGCTGCCACTTTTCTCCACAGCAGGGGAAGAATACCCCCAAATGAAAATATTTTGGAGTGGTAGTGGGAGACAAGGATGAAGTTGGATTTGGATAGCAATCTATGCCTCATGCTTGTTAGCATACCCTTTAGAGACTTACTGCTTCTGCTGTTAGCGGTGAGCTTTAGCTTTTGTTCCCGTAACACAGTCCTAAAGGAATACAGTTCCAAAAGACAAAAACATGATCTTGGCAGAGACACAGCTCAGCTCCAAACACTCAGCCATTTCTGTAATTGCACAAAGCCCTTTGTAGCTTTTTAGAGACCTGTAATTAGAGCTTTTAATCCCCAGGTTGTCCTCCTTCCCAGGTGACTTAGACTGGTCACCTGGTTCTAGGGTATTAGACAACTGCAGTAACTGCCTTATTTGTCTAATCGCAACCACTCCTGCCCCATAAAGCAATTCATTTTGCACAGAGCTGACTGATCTTTTTTAAATGTAAATCAGGTTTGTCACTTCTCTGCTTAAAATTCTTCAGTGGATTCTCATTGCTCTGAAAACAAAAGACAACATCTTTCCCAGGCCCTGTGTGATCTACCCAGGCCACCCTCTCCAACTGCATCTTAACCCACTTCTTCCTCGCAGAACTCCAGCCAGAGGGGGTTTTTCATTTTTCCAGCATTCTAAGCCATTTCTGCTTCGGGGTTTTATACATGCTGCTCTATCTTCCTAGAGTACTCTTTCCCTTATGACCTCATTTTCATCTTCTAGATCTTTACATCAACATCACCTTTTTTGTGGAAGAAACTGGCTAGGTACTTACCAAGGTGCCCTTTTCCTAGACAATTAAACCCCATTTCCCAATGCCTTATGTCACGGTGGGGCTATTCAAGTAGTTCTAATCAATGGAAAGGGAGTGAAGTGATGTTTCACTATCAGACCAAGGCAGTTAAAGAGCAGATGAACCTTCTCCTTATTCTCCCACCTGTCCACCTTCTAGGATGACCTTGAAGCACATGTTTTGAAGGTGATGGAGTAAAAACAGAAGTCTGGATCCCTGAGTCACTGCTTGGGAGGAAAGCTGCTTGACTAAGAACATCCAGATTGAACTTTGAACAAGAAATAAACCTCCATTGCAGTAAGCTAGTGTGTTTGGGGAGATTTAGGGCAGTTAGCATTATGTATCCTGGCTAATATATCTCCTCTGGGCATCCTATCCACCTTACCTTACTCTTGATCACAAAAGGCTTTTTGTTTCATTCTGGTGCTTCAAACATTTAATTATCTTACCAGATGCTGGTCAATACTACCTGTCCCATGAATTTTAATCTTAGTGGGGGGGTGTGATGCTCACATCAGGAAGTTGAGATGCTTATTTTACAAGTTATGTTTTGATTATGACAAAAAATCCCAGTAATGAATGAAAAAACCTGAGGGTAGGTGGCTATGGGCATTGATTTGGGAAATCAAGGATTTAGCAATTAGGTCTGTCATTCTCTTGGTCTCCTGATTCTCTTATTCACAAGGTGATGTGTTCTTGGTTAAGCAGGGACACCCAATGTACTATTTACTATACACGTCTTGAGAGTCTCACTGATTGCCCGAGTCTTTATGCTCTTCATGGGTCCTTCTACATTGTTAATACAGTGGTGTAGATATGTTCTATTGTTCCGTATAACATAGCTGAAACCAATCTAAAATATTAACATTTGAAATATATTTAATTCTCTCCCTCACCGCTCCTCATATCTTAGCAGCCTGTCAGTAACTCATTCAGTTCAGTATATGTTTATATAGAACTCCAAAAATCAACAGCAACAAAATAGAAGCCAACAGAAAAAATGGGCAGGAGATTGGAATTGGCACTTTATAGAAGAGGATTTTTAAATAGCCAACAGACACATGGAAAGGTCAGTCCCATTTGTAATCAGAGAAATTCAAAGTAACACCAAATGACATGACATTACATATATACTGGAACTGCGGGGGAAATGCCACCAGATAGCAAAGATGTGGAGTAAAATGAATTCTCGTGTGGATTACATGAAAATTCTCATAATCCCTGGTGAGGGAGAATAGACTGAAAATTTTGGAAACAGACTGGCATTATCAACTAAAGTTAAGGGTATACATACTTTGTAAGCAGACAGTTCTACCCCTGGTTGTATTTCCAACAGAAATGTGTGCACTTGCACAAGAGGCATTTGCAAGATTGTTCACAGCAGCACTATTGGTAGGAACCGCAAACTGATCACTAGGCAGTTCACAAACTATTTGAACACACCCCTCCCCCAAATGCCCACTATAACACCAACAGATCTTCACAACATAAAATGAAAACTTACACATATCCATAATAATCAGGTTTCAACCAAAATGATCAAACAGAGGAAATGATAATCCTGTAATAATCATAAAATTATAAACTAGCCCTGGCTGGCGTAGCTTAGTGGATTGAGCGCGGGCTGGGAACCAAAGTGTCCCAGGTTCGATTCCCAGCCAGGGTACATTCCTGGGTTGCAGGCCATAACCCCCAGCAACCACACATTGATGTTTCTCTCTCTCTCTCTCTCTCTCTCTCTCTCTCCCCCCTCCCCTCCCTCCCTCCCTAAAAAATAAATAAATAAAAAATCTTTAAAAAAAATAAATAAAATTATAAACTAATTTTTACTCGGAATAAAAGACAATAATAACTGACTCCAGTGAGCTCAGGTACTGGATCTGGCTGTCAATATTTTAAAGTAGCTGTTTCTGATGTGTTCAAATAATGAGAGGAAAATATAAGAAATTCAAGGAATATACAGAGGAGGAACTTTGCCAGAGACATAGAAGCTATAAAAAGGAATCAAATGAAAATTCTAGAACTAAGAAAAGTTCAATGTAAATTACTCAACTTGAACAACAAAAAGTAAAGAAATGGACAGGGCCTCATGAACCTGTGGCACTAAAACAAAGGACCTAATGTGTCATCGGAATCCCAGAAGATGAGAAAGGATGGAGCTGAGAAAGCACCTGATGAAAAACTAGCGGAAACATTTCTAAACTGGGTAAGAGACAAAAACCTATGGATTCAAGAAGCAGAGTGAACAACCCCTAAACCAGATAATCATGAAGAGGTCCATATCAAAACATATCATTATGAAAACTGAAGAAGAGTACTGAAAGCTAAAGAAAAATGCTGTACCTAAAGGGGGAAGTTTGAAAGCAGAATTCTTTTCATCAGAAACCATGGAAGCTATAGAAAAATGGCTCAATCTTTTTCAGGTTTTCAAATAAAACAACCCAGAATCACACCCAGTGAAAACATTCAGAAGGAATAAAGGAGGGAATGTGGACACTCTTAGTTGAAGGAAAAGTAAAATTTGTCACCAACTGACCTACCCTAAAAAGGGAGGGCTAGAAGAATTTGTCTAAACAAAGGAAATGGTGAAATCTGAGACTATCGGAAAGTGTGAAAGAGCACAGTAAACAAAAATATGTACAAATACAACAAGTAGCTTTCCTGAATTGTGCTTGATGGTTGAAGCAAAAAATCATAACACTGCTGTGGTTCTAAATGTATGTAAAAGAACTATTTAAGACAATTACATTATAAATATAGAAGGATAAAGGGGATGTAAGTTTTCTTGACTTCACTTGAACTGGTAACACACCTGTAGACCATGTTAAGATTATAAATAGAAAATTGTACTGCAACAACAATTAAAATAAATTTTAAAAATAAAATAAAAAGATTATAAATAGACGCGTAGAGCAACCACTAGAAAGCTGTACAAAGAGATAAGCTCAAAAACACTGTAGTTAACTCAAAATGAAATGATAAAAAGTATTCAGTTAATCCATAGGAAGGCAGAAAAAAGAAAATGACAATCAGAGCAAACAAAAAATAAAATGGCTGACTTATTCCCTAACATAATAATTACAGTGCATGTTAATGCTCTGAATACATCAGTTAGGCAACAGAATTGGGCAGAATAATAAAAAGCAACCTAACTAAATATTGTCTACAGGAAACTCACTTTAAATATAACGGTATAGGCAAATTGAAAGTAAGAGGGTGAAAAAGATACATAATGCAAACATTAAGGAAAAAGAGTGCTTATATTAAATTAGATAAAGTTGACTTCAGAGGGAAAGATTTTGTCAGAGAAGGACATTATATAATGATAAACAGGTCAATGCAGCATGAAGGAATAATGCTAGAGCAGGGTGCAAAACACATGAAAACTGATATAACTAAAAGGAGAAATAGACAAATCCACAATTGCAGTTGGAGACTTCAACAACCCTCTCAATAATTGGTAAAACAACTAGACAGAAAATCAGCATTTATATGTAGGAGAATTATTAGAAATAGTTCTAAAATGAGGGATTAGTCACAGGAAAATCTTCAAACACTAAGAAGCTAAATATACTTCCAAATAATCCATGTGTCAAAGACAATTTACAAGGGAAATTAAACAATACATTGAATAATTAAAATGAAAGCACAACATCAAATTTTGTGATGTAGCTAAAGCAATGCTGACAGGTATATTTATTGCTCTAAATGCATACATTGAGAAGAGAAAGTCTCGAATCAATAATCAAAGTTCTCACCTCAATCATCGAGAAAAAAATGGAGTAAGATGAATCCAAAGCAAGTAGGGAGAAGGTGATTAGTAAAGAGCAGAAGTCCATGAAATTGAAAACAAAAACAATAGAACAAGCCAGTGAAACGAAGAACTGTTTCTTTGAAAAGATGAATAAAATCACAAACCTCTTGAAGACTAACAGAGAAAAGACACAAATTACCAATATCAGAAATGAAACAACCATCACTACAAACTGGGCAGATATAAATATATAAAGATAATAAAAGAATACTGCAAACAACTCTACACATATATTTGACAACTTAGTTGAGCTGGAACATTTCCTTAAAAATAAAACCACACAAAGTATTACAACTCATTTAATATGAAATAAATAATTTAAATAGCCCTGTAACTATTAAGGAAATTAAACTTGTTTTAAAAATTCCAAGAAAAAGAACTAACAAGCAAAATAGAGACAGACTCATAGCAGGCTTACAGCTGTCAGAAGAGGGGTTGTGGGGGGACTGGGTGGGGAGTGTGGAGGGACAACAAAAAAAATTACTTGAGCAATAACATTTCAATAATAATAACAAGTTAAAAAAAAGAATGAAGCAGAATGAGGACAGGGACTTGCTCCACCTTGCTGCTATAACTCCTCTGACTAGAACAGTACCTGACATATACCATATTTTTCAGACTATAAGATGCACTCCTCAAATTTAGGATGAAAAGGGGGGTGTGTCTTATAGTCTGAATATAGCTTACCTGGCTCGCTGTGGGGGGTGGCAGTGGAGTGGGATCTCAAGTTATTAAATATTTTACTGCATCTTTTGCCTCAAAAATTTTTTCCCCTGTTCTCCTCCGCTAAAACCTAGGTGCTTCTTATGGTCTGGTGTGTCTTATAGTCCTAAAATGTGGTGGTAAATTCTCAATGAATATTATCAAATGGAAAAAAAAAAGGACCTTAACCTAGTCTCACACCTTATACAAAAATTAACACAAAATGGATCATGAACTTTGATGTAAAATAACAAAACTATAAAACCTGTAGAAAAGAAACAAGAAAATCTTTGGAATCTTGGGTTAGGCAGAAAGGGTTAAACTTGCCATTGAAAGCATAATCTATAAAAGGAAACATGGATAAACTAGACTTCATTGAAATTAAAAACCTTTGCTCTATGAAAGACCCTGTTAAGAGGAAGCTATAGACTGGGAGAAAATATTTGCCAACGACATAGCTGACAAAGGACTAGTATCTCAAGAGTAAAAAACCTAATAACCTTATATCTACTAAAGAAATTGAATTTGTAATGTAAAACCACCAAAACAAAACACTCCAGGCCCAGATGGCCCTACTGGCAAATTCCACCAACCATTGATGGAAGAAAGAATATCAATCCTACACAGACTTTTCGAGGAAGTAGAATAGGCCTGAACACTTCCTAACTCATTTTGTTTGTGACTCTGAGACAGACACCTGGGAGCAGAATTGCTAGAACATGCTTTATTTAATTAATTTCACTAAGTGCTGGCAGATTGCTCCCAGAATAACTACTCCAGTACACGCACCCATCAACAGTGCATGAGGCTTCTTGTTTTTCACTATCTCCCCAACATTTTATATGATAGAGATTACAGAATGCTGTGGAGAGAATGGCTATTGGAGAAGAATGCCTGGTTTCAAAAACTGGCTCTACTATTTTCTGACTCTGACCTTGGATAATTTACTTAATCTGTATCTCAGCTTCCTCACTTGTATGATGGAGAAATAATAGTACCTATCTTACAAACATCAGGGCTTCTTAGGCATTAATGGGTGAAAATGGTACTGTGTTGTATTTCAGACATTTCCCCTATTCTGTTTCTGAATGAGGATTTCAAATTAGAATAAAAAGCTACAGAAATAAGTGAGTTTCAGGTGAGCTACAGACCATTAATGATGTTTTAGGTTTTTGGACTATTGGTGCATGCAGTATACAAAGTGGATCACAAATTTCCTTATAAATTAGGATATGCAAATAAAATTTAGCTCCTCTCTCAATTATTGATCTGATTTTCCTCACAAGTTCACTCCCATCCTGTACTCCACCAACTAGTGGAAGAGGCTAGAAATAAATTTAATTCAGTCTCTTTAGGTTTCATTTATCCTTTGAAATAAATGCTGAGAAGCTCAAATTTTTCCTATTCTACCTCTGCTTCTCTGCAAAGTGACATCTGGGTATAGAGGGAAGAGCATTTTGATATCAGAAAGAAGGGGTCCTCTAGTCTCATACCGGTCCTTGGGCATGACAAGCTGGAATCCTCTGGGTACAGGTGGCCCAGTTCCATACATGGGCATTCCACCAACATTTGCTTCTAAAGCTGATGAATCCATGGTCTTGTCTTTTTTAGCTGTCAGGGCCTGTGCCCCTCCCTGCTAATTTGGCTTTCTTGCAACAACTCTATCTTTGGTGCCACAGATCACAGTGATTTTCTGCCTCATTCCCCATTGAGCCTAAAGGACCTCTACTCAGCATCCACACCACACAGGAATCAAGAGACACAACCTCTTTATAACCATGCCACTCTGCCCTTATAATGCTCCTGGTCGACAGTAAGTCCATGCTGTAAAGCATTTTCCATCTAAAGCCTCAGGAGGAAAAAAGACAAAAGCCTCTTTGGCCTCAGCATGTCAGTTTACTCCTTCATCCCAAAGTCCCAGGTCAAGTTGATTTTGTCTTACTCCTCTGTCTCCTCTTTGCTCCATCTGCCCCCATCAATTGGGACATGATGGCACATATTTCTTCCCTTTGTCCTGTGTCTGTGTTCCTTTTTCTTTTCATTGTTTGGGACCTTAATTTCTTAATGGGATTTTAGTTTATCTGGTAGACAGTTTCAGTAGTGAAATTGTCAAATCCAGAACATTTTTACACAGCAGCCATTGTATTTAGGCTATACTGTCATATGATACT